AGAAAGATGTTCTACCTCTCCCCTCACAAAAATATCCACTTTTTTTTTTAAAACGTAAATTCAATCCTTGATGACTGTTTCCAAGGGAGAGTCAATGGACAAATAAAGCAGTACATCAAAGAAATCATATGTGAAACTGAATAGGAAAGAGGAAGTTATTTTTATTTAACATGTTGTTCCACATTTAAGTAAAGCTCCTGCACACACACAAATAAAAAGTAGTTTCTTTTGGTTTTGGGTGGGTTTTTTGTTTGTTTGTTTTTTTGGTAAAGATTTGACACCAAATCCCTTTCAATAAGAGCTTTAAAAAGCTCACAATGTACATATAAAGAGCTCTGTCATAGTACCTTTCAGACCACCTTTCAGGTGTTTCATATATCATAAAGAAGCAATTACAGGGCACAACTTCTCCTTCAGATTCCTCCTAAATTGGCTTTAGCGCCAACTCAAATGAATGGATAAGACGTAATTCAAGTGGACCAAAAAGTCAAATGAAAAGGCATGAACCAAACTGAGAATCTGGCTCTGACTCTACAATTGTATCGGGTCAAACAGATCCTTGCACTCACATTGGGCTCCACTAGCTCCAATGGGGATTTGGCCAAACTGTAGGATCAAAGCCAAATTCTCAAAGTTCCATTCATGTTCTCATCTTGGGAGAAAGATTACATTTGTAGAAGAATTATTAAAAAGGACATGGCCAACATGACACTTTAAACAGTGTCCTGATCACTTTCACATTCTAGTTCCCATGAGTATACTGTTATTACTGCATATATATTTATAAGCAAAAACTTAGTTTTCATCTATTTAACATCATGAAAACATTTGTGTATATTGACTGTTGTAAAAATATATTTCATTCGCCATACATATGAAGCCTAAACTACTTGACAGAGATCCTTAACTCATCACTCATTAAAAAAAAAAGACAGTTAATGTCAGTGATTACTAAGTGACTTCTCATTTTTGTCACAAGAACATAAGAATTACTACACCAGATGAGACCAGAGTCCATTTAGTCCAGTGCCTCTGATGCTTCAAAGGAAAAGTGCAGAAAAACCATGAAGTGGACAACTGTGGAATAAATTATCCATAGGGAAAACTTATTTCTAATTCCTCAGAGGTTGGTTTTATGCCTTGAAACAACAGTACTTCCCATAATAAATATTTTATTTTCCCTCCTAGATTGTCAGTTCAAAAAATAAGTGCCATTTCATTGGAAATGTATTTATCTACCTTAAAACATGGGATAAATTTAGCCAACAAGCATATCCTCAAAGATCATTTCTGAATGGTCACCAACAGACTGGAGCACTGATACTAGAGTAAATGGCCTGCCCTGAAAAATATGTTATTGAAAAATCATCACTATTAACTCCTTGCAACTCCACAGAGTCCATGGCCACTTTAGACCCTCCAAATTGAAAACATGAAGTGGAATGATGCAGTACAAACTAAGGTTAATTCTACACGTTTACATACAGGATCAAACCCCGCCGATATAAAAAAGATTTAACTCAAAATAAACTACAGTTTAAACCCGGTTACTGAGAGAACAGGGACTTCCTAAAAAGAACTCAAAAATGCTATTATATGCGTGTGATCCAATTAATACAAAATAGTATATTGCAAAATGGTAAATATTTGCATTTTTAGTTTATGAAAATGCAGCTGCAAGGAAAAGTCCTTTATGCATTTAAAACATAAAAGGAGAATATAAAATAAAGACTGTTCAGCAAATGCAATTTGATTTTAATATCAGGCATACTAATTTCTGTTCTTGAATTACAGTGCATCCAAATATCTAATAGAGAGTTGTGTGACTTCATGACAAACAGTTCATTAGTCTTGCTATTTGTGATTCATCCTAAGCCGTTTATGATTTCTCAAGTTTGTTATTTACAAAAGTTATTCAGTGAATCACTTTGTACAATTAAAAGGCCAGAAATTGTATGAACAGTTTGTTATAAATATTCAAAATTAGACATCTGAGCTGTTTTGGTTGGACATATGTCACATGGTACGTTGGCTTCCTGAGCATAACTCTTGGAATCAGGTTTCTAACAAGGTCCACTGCCAATTTCACATTTCCTTCTTTAGTCCCAACCCAGCAAAGCACTTAAGCACAGCGTAGCCCTGCTGTAGTCAGTATGAGCACTGAGGCTAAACCGGTCTTCTCCAAATATTGCTGCTAGCAAACTCATGTGCTAGAATATTTGTGGAAAGCTAAAACTGAACACAAAAGCAACAGGAACACAGTCAAAGAAAGTCAGCTAAAAAAATTGCAATATTTGTTGTAGTCGCTTATAGTTGGACGATGTAAAGTATGTACATTTAAAAAATGTGCAAGTTTAAGTACTTATCTATAACACCACCTGAATTTCACCTTTTTAAAACATATGGATATATTATAGTACTAGTTGAAAACAGCTGAATGATGGCATGTAAATTCTTCAGAATAAAAAAATATTTATTGCTTGAGATGCAGTTCTATTATTTTAACAAATCGTAGTATAACTACAATCTTCATACAACCTGCAACGGAATGTTTTTATCCAGACATCCATTGTTACTATTATAATAGTATTTTTCTAAATTACTTAGATACATAGACTGTGATTAAGTATTAAATCACTAGAATATTTAAGCGTGTGTACAGCTATAGTAATTACAGTGCTTAGAAACAGCACTCTGTGGACACACTACAGAAAAAGAATAAAATACAACAGAATTAAAGGCTCCCTCTGGTTTTCTTGCTGAAATGAAGTACCATACTTTTTTATGTATAAATGTGCATTATCAGATAACATAACTTCTGCAAGATCCTCCAATAATAGTGCCTCATTCCCTCCTTAATATCCAAGGCATACTTTATGTATGTTTGTACTTAGAGACGCACGCACTGTGTTACTAAGTACAGCCCGATGTACCACAGGAAGTGAGTGAGACCTGTTTTTAGAAGCTTTACTTACAAAACATCTTCCATATGTGTAACATGTAAATCAATCCCTCAGACACATATGTGTGATCATTCAGTTCAACCGTCTTACCTGATAACTCTGGAAACCCAGATTCCAGTGCACTTCTGATTTCTACATTTAAGTGCATAAAAGAATAATACTGAGCTGTTACACACTACTAGATAAATACAGTACTAAATATGTATTTTAAAATTACACAGTGCAGCTAAATCACATTTGGTGCTCCACTTCTGGCCAGGTCTCTATTTAAGAGGAAGTAAGGAAACTTTAAGGCTTAAGCCTTATTTAAACTCCTCTAGCAAGAGCTTCTTTGATTTTACTGTAAAACTGCTACGGTCCCAAACCCTTGCTAAACTCAGACTTCTCCCTGTAAATCACTAATTGGTAGGTACTCTATGGTTATTTAATGAGAAATGTGGTAGTAGCCTCTATATCCAGGCACAAAAATACAGGCTAATTGGTAAAATTATGCAATCAGAAAAACCCAAATAAATGTCTAACAAAACTGTAACAGCAGCAAGAGCATTTAAATTACCAGGATAGTTTATAGAAAGTCCTATACCAAACAGCATTTTCTCCACCACAACCTAATAGCTTGGCAATTAAGTTAAACACACAAAGAACTGCGCACCACACCAAATTAACATCGCACACTCAATGACCATTAATTCATCCAAAGAGAAGCTGACACTGCTATAACTTTGCAAGTGTTACAGGTAGTATAAATCCATGAGAGAAGAGGTTTGTCAGTTCCTGCTGAGCCCAGAAACAGTAACCAGCAGGGCTCTGGGTATAAGGAGGTGGCAGCTAACTGAAGGGGATGGGAACAGTTCAAGGTGGTGGTTTAGGAAGTGACTGGGGCCTCAGGAGAGTAGTTGAGGGGATGAGTTGAGGCAAGTCTGATTCTTTGGGATGGACTAGTTGATGGGCACTTTGAGACCTCAGGAATGCAGGGCTCAGGGTGATGACTGAAGGGGCAACTTAGGGTGGGTAGGGTCTCAGGATATGAGGTTCAAATTCACTGTGTAGCTAGGATCTAGGGGTGGCTGAGGATGGCCAGGATGAGTATGCAGGATCTATTCAGTATGACTGGGAGCAGTAGGAAAATGAAGAACAGACAGGCACTTGGGGTGGCTGGGGGCAGCAGGATTGGAGTAACAGACAGGAGGGACCTAGCTGGATTGTTTCAGGCAGAAGAATTGGGATGAGGGGCAAGTGGTCTCTTGGAGGCCAGTAGGATAAGGATGAGGAACAGCAGAGCTCTCGTGGGAGTCACAGACAGATCTACGGGTGAAGGGCAGATAGACTCTTGGGGGTCAGCAGCTGGGAACAGCAAGATCAGGATGGGGCAGGTGGGCTCTCAGCGGATGGCAGCAGGATCTAGGGCAGAGGGGCACATGGGCTCTTTGGGACACCATCCAGGTGAAGTATAAGCAAGCTCTCCAGAGGTGGCAGCAGAATCCTGCAAGGGTGGAGACACACATGGGCTCTGAGGGGAACTAGAGGAGGAAGAGTGTGCAGAAGAATTCTGCAGGGGGGTTGCTAGACTTGGGCTACGGGGGAGCAGGATCTAGACGTGAAGGGCAAGGAGGCTCTCGGGGGGAGCAGATGGGGGGGGGCTGACAGTCTCTTGGTGGGGGGCAAGTGAGCTCTCTAGGAGACAGGACCGGGATGGGGAACAATGGGGACTGACAGGACCAGGATGGGGGGCAGGTCTCGGGGGAAGGATCAGAATGGGGGGCAGGTGGGCTCTCTAAAGGATGGGATCGGGGGCAGGTGAGGTCTGACAGTCTCAGGGTGGGGGGCGGGCAATCTTGGGGTAGGGGTCAGGTAGACTCCCTGGGGCAGATCGGGGGTGAGAGGCAAGTAAGGGCTGATAGTCTCGGGTGCTCTAAGCTTTTCGCTCTCCGGCCCGCTGCCCCAGCAACCAGACCCACGCGTGGGAGCGGGGCGGAGACAGCAGGTGCCCGCCGGGCGCCCCCATTCCTACTGCGCCCCCCGCAGCCTCGCACTGACCTCACCACCACTCATGCACAGCTCCATTTTGTGGCAGGGCTCCGGCTCCTCCGCGTCCTCCAGCGGGGCGAACGGCACCATGTCCTCGCGCCCGCTAGCCGGGGAGCCGCCGCCGCTCGCAGCCGCTGTTCATGTCCCGGCTCCGCGGCGGCGGCTGCTGCTTCTGCGGCCTCAAGGGCAGCGCGCTGCCGAGCCGGCGGGTCCCCTCCGCCGGCCCATAGAGCGCGGCGGCGTCGCAGGAACTGGCTCTGCTGCTACTGCTCTCCGGCGGGGGCGGCTCCGCCCTGCCCGCACCGCGCCCCCTCCCCCAACATGGCGGCCGGGGAGGGGGCGGTACCGATGCAGCATGGGAATGACGTCAGGCCGGGCTGGAGAATCCCCGGCACGGGGACGGAGGGGTGGGAGGCGCACGTGGAGCGGGCGGTGTGGGGGAGGCGGGGGATGACGTGAGCCATGGCGTGGGTGTGATGCACGTCCTTTGTAATGTCCTCAGCGGGCTGCGCATTCGGAGCCTGGCCGCTGCGCGGGGGGCGCCCTTCCCCCTCCCCCGCCCGCGAGCCTGGCGAGCGTCGACCCGCTGCATAGCGAGGGGGACCCGGCTCCAGGCCAGCAGCCCCTGCGCCGGAGGATGCTGCCTGCACCCGCCCTGGGGCTGGATCCCCGCTGCACGACCCGTGGGGACAGCTTGCGTGGGGGTGCCCCGTCCCTGCAGGACGGTGACAGCCCAGAGCCCCCGGGGGTAAAAAGCACACCGGGGCCAGAGGGGACCCTGCACAGGGTGGGGTGTGATCCTGGTACTGCTGCTGATTGCTGTCAGTGGAAGTTAGGGGGACCACACCTCCCGCTATGATCAGGACCATCCCCTATGGTAGGGGTTTTGGCTTATATAGGCAACTATACCTCTCCCCTGCAAAAAAAAGTGTCCTTATATTTCACACTTGCTATCTGGTCCCCTTAGAGGGTGTTTTGCCTGGGGAAAATTGAGTGAGGACTGCAGGGTTTGGCCCTGTTGCAGAGAAGTGCTGCAAGTGCCAATGCAGCCCCGGGCTGCTGGGGATGGGCATCGTATCTTTAAAGCCAAGGGAAGTAGTGCCATCAAAGTCAATGAGGTTACTCACACAATAAAAGTCAGGGATGTGCTTACCTTGTGGAATCGGGCTTAAGCCCTGATCCTGCAGTAAAGCTAAATTGCATACGCACAACACTGCAACTATGGGCACTTTGAATTCCTCAGGTAGTAACTAATGACTAGTTTTATAGAGTCCAAGGCCATGAGGGACTATTGTGATCTTCTAGTCTGACCTCCTGTATAACACAGGCTAAGACACCTACAGAGCAGTAGCAGTAGTTCATGAGAAGAGGTCGCTGAGTTATCAGTACTAAACTGGCTTACAGATATCATTTCATATTTGCAGTAAACACCTTCTGTCTAAGTTGTTCAAATGACAGCAAAAAAAAAAAAAGCCAGTGATTAACTTGTGAAATTCACTACAGGGGAGAATAGGAATATATACTCAGGTCTAGAAGCTGCTAGATCAAACTAAGACCCTATTGAGGTCTTACAACCTTTTAGAGCCAGAAACAGCATAAAAGTATGTACTTGTATGCATGAGAAAGGAAGGGATCATGTATTTCACCTTGGTTACAAGCACCAAGAGATTTATTCCTCCGTTACCAAGTATATAATTAAGAGGAACATTGCATTGTTTCCAATTCTGAAGGAGTTTGGCACTGTAGTTAGTTTGCTATTTGCCAGATAAAAAGATGTACGAGATCCTCTAAGTGAAAGGGTTTTTGATTTTTTTCCCCCCTAAATCATTCTTTAATCGTGGAAGGAAGAAAAGTTGTGGTTCATGGAACACGGTTAAAAATGTGTGTTTGGAAATTATTACCCAAGACAGAAAACTATTCTGAGAACATTTTAGACTTATTTAAACATGTTGCATGACCAGGGCCAGCCTTAGGATTTATGGGGCCCTACGCAGTATTATTAAACTGGTTCCCCTATACTCCACTGAAGGCAGTCCCCAGCCTGCACCACTGACCCCAGTGAGTTGAGGGGGCACAGCCACCACTCCCACCCGCAGACCCCCAAAACCCCCCATTGCTGACGCATACCGAGCTTCGTATGCCACAGATGCTGTGGCAGAGGCTCAAGGCAGGCTTTGCACTGTCACATGGGGGCTACATCTTGCCAGAGCCCTCCTGCAGCTGCTAGCCACTCCTGGCTCACCACAAGCATTTTGACAGAAAGTAACAAGCATTAATAGCAACAATAATACATGTGTGTGTGTGTGAGAGAGAGAGAGCCAGTGCGTGTGAGAGAGACAGAGGCTGTGTGTATGTGTGTGTTGGGGGAGTGTGACAGAGTGTGTGTGAGAGTGACAATCTGTATTGGGGACTGTGATTCGTGAGAGGCAGTGTATGTGAGTATGAGAGCCAGTCTGTGTGTGAGAGAAAGTGTGTGTGTTTGTGTGACAGTGAGCGCACTGTCACTTTATGTCCCCCACCCTCACATGGAAGTTTCGCTCCTCCTGTCCTGACCCCCACCGGATACTGAGCGGCGCCAGCAGGGAGGGACTCCGCTCCGGGCGGCAGTGGACTGGGCCACCGCCAGTGACTGGTCGCACCACTCTGGGCTCCCCAGGACTGAGGCAGCAGAGTCGGAGGTTGGAGCCCTTGACTGGCTGTCTGAGGAGCGAGTGAGGGAGGGGGCAGGGAGAAGCCCTCAGGCCCAGCACAGGGGAGGGGCCAGAGAAGAGAGGATTCCAGTAGCGGCCAGCAAGGGGAATGGTGCCCCAAATTTTTGGGTGCCTGTAATCCGGCATCGACTCACCCCTGCAGTGCCTCCTGCTGGTCGTTTCGGGAATTAGCTCACCCAGCATCCGGAGCGCTCCCTGCAGGCCAGGTGTCCCACCTGTCTCTGGCCCCCATGTCCCTCCCAGACCCCGGTGCTTTGGTGCTGTCCCCCTAGCAGTACCCCACTCTCCCTCTGGGTCTCCCTGCCCAAGGGAACCCCCACCCCCTATCCCAATGTCACCTCAGTTGTGGCTACTGCCAGTCACCATCTAGCCCCCACGCCCTGGGGCAGACTGCAGTCTATCAGCCAATCATCACAGGCAACAAGGGATTTGGACTGGCTGCTTTTACCCACCCTCAGGCTGCCCCTCTGCAACCCCAATACCTATATGGGCCTAGGACCAGGCCCTGCAGCCTGGGGAGTTGCTGGCCTAGGGCTTTCCAGTCTCCAAGGCTTTTCTCCAGCCCTGCCTCACTCTAGGTCCCCAGAAGAGCTCCCTGCAGCCAAGCCAAGCCGGCCGGCCGCCCCCTCTCCCTCCAGTCAGAGGGAGACTCCTCAGTTTCTGGCTACTCTGGCCTTCTTAGAAGGCTGAGTGGCTCAGTTTGGGGCATGGCCCCAGCAGCAGTCACTTCCCCAATCAGCCAGGGTTTGGCTCCTTTTTACAGCCCCAGCCCTCTGCAGGGCTTTTCCAACCCCTTCTGGGCTGGAGCGGGCATTCACCCTGCTACAGTGCCCTATGCAGCCGTGTATGCTGCATATGCCTAAGGACGGCCCTGTGCATGACCTTTCACCAAGGAGCATCATATAAAGCTAGCAAGCACCCTCTCAGTAAGAGACAGTTCTTGATTGCCAAATAATTTTTATACAATTGGCAGGACTGAGGGAGCAAGCTGGTATACTGCATGGTTCAGAACTACTCAGCCTTGCTTATTTCTTTTTACTAAGTGCACACAAGAGGATGTTGTGGTGCTGTATTCCTTGAATACACTTGAAAGAGCAGCATGGCTCACAGAACTACCCATGATGCATTAAAACTGAGCTGTGTGACTCCAAAAGAGAATTGGCTATTGTAAGTATGACATTATAACAACATCCAGTTAGCGTGTCAGCACTTCCATTGTAAACCTGTTTTTAAAGGCTTACAACTCAGTCATAGAAGACAAAAATGTTTTTGGCTGAAACAAACCATGTGCGCCCAGGAACATTCCGCCCCTCCCCCCCCCCAAAAAAATGTAGTTCACTCACAAAATATTTAGGTCCAAAATGAACATACTATACACAGTGTTTGAATATTTATGAGCAACTACTTTTGATTCAAAATATGTAACGGCTTCTGTTTATATTAAAGGCTACTCAGGTCTCTCACACTTAAAAAAAATCGTTGTTGGCTTGCAAGAGGGATATTCAGGTTTTAGAGTGATCAGGTGGCAGGACAGGAAATGAACTTCACAGATTCTAATAACAACTGCAATCAGGAGATGCAGCCAAGTTTTTGTGCCTTTAGTTCACACCCAGGCTGCTCCCTACTCCTATGCCTCTGTTTGCACACAGGCATTATTAATGTTATTGATGTGCATCGGCAGAAAGCCAAAGGACCAGACCTCTTCTGTGTGGTTAAATATGTAGGCAAAGAAGTACCACTGGGCAGCTATTAATTTAAATCAAAAGGGATGGAAGTGAGAAATGATTTTTTTTGCTGGTGACACTTCAGCCCTCAGCAAAGCTTGCCCTTTTCCTGCATTCCAGTCAGGGCCGGCTCCAGTGACCAGCTTACCAAGCAGGTGCTTGGGGCAGCCACTTCAGAGGGCGGCACGTCCAGCTGTTCGGCGGCAATTCGGCGGACGGTCCCTCACTCCTGCTCAGAGCGAAGGACCTTCCGCCGAATTGCCGCCACAGATCGCAATCACAGCTTTTTTTGTTTTGTTTTGTTTGGCTGCTTGGGGCGGCCAAAACCCTGGAGCCGGCCCTGATTCCAGTCACTTATTTTGAAGGCTGTTGAGACAGTTCCTACTTCCCAAAAGGATGACAGGTTACAGACACATATTCAACGACACACAACATTTCAGAATTAGAGGGGGTACGGAGGTGAGCAATTGGAAAGGATGGGAAAACTCAAATGAAGACAGATTGAAAAAAAATGGATTGTTGCCTTACAAAGGAGATGAATAAGAGAGCACATGGTAATATAAAGAATGAATGAGATAGAGATCAGGAGCTTTGCATTTCCCTGTTTCATAGCAAAAGCACAAGAGAACAGTCAATGAAATTTAAAGGTGGCAAAGTCAAAACCAATAAAAGGAAATATTTTTTTCACACAATGCATAATTAAGTTGTGGAACTCATTGTTAGGGGATGTCATTAAGACCAAAATACTTGGCAAGCTCCAAAAAGAGATTGGACATTTATATGGATATAAAAAATACCCAGAGTTATAACCATTAATGCTAACAAAGTGATGAAGAGATATTAAACCTCATGCTTTGGGGTTCATGGTTGGAGATAGAATGCAGTACTAGATAGACCACGGGTTTGATCCAGTGTGCAA